TAATAGAGTATTTTACTAATATATAATATTGTTTTTGAATTACCGGCATCAGTATATGTTAGTAGCACATAATATTAATGTATAATAAATAATTCAAATTCAAATAATAAWACTATAAACTTTGATTCTATTTTATCATAACAAATATTGCTATATATAACAGTTTTATCACTTACATGGTTACAATATTATAAAACCGAATTCACAGCTACGTCGTTTGTCGTGTAATGTCTTTCAAACCACAATGTGACTGGACGTAATTTTTTTTATCAAGTAATAACCAAGTTGAAACCAACTATATCAATAGCTCAACTTTTAAACCAATATGGTTACAACTGGTTAATTATGACGCACTCGCACGACYGACACACGACGTAAATGTGAATCCGTCTTAATGTGTAAWACTATCATTTTATGCAGAGATCTATAAATATAATTTCATGTAATAATAATATTTAAGTAMTGGTCTATGTGAAAAAAATAATGATTGTAATAATTACGGTAAAATCAAAAACTTTTTTTTTAATTACAACTAACCTATCTTTAAAGTTGAAATGTATATATTTGTATAATATTATGACTACATTATTCATCATCACGAGTTTGGTGCTAAACAGTAAATATACAGTGTCTCGTAAGATTACGTATAGGTAGTATTTTAATAACAATATAACGATTGACGMCGATTATAATGTGTTTTTACTATAAATTATAGGCGTCTAAAACTGTCGATGTCGATAACAGAGTACTGACAAAAGAAGATAACGAAAATGAAATCGACGAACCAAATAAGTCCACTTTTGATAACTTTATTCAAGGGCTGCACAATATTGACACGGCGATGGAAGCGATGATCGATAATTACACAGATGGGGTTGAGCATTTGAGCGAAGAAAACGCGTTGCAGGATATAGACGATTTTAAATTGGACAAGATGGAACATGTGCGCAAGGAYGAATCAGTGATCGGAAGCTAATAATATTCACGATAATCGCAATACAAACAATGATAACATAAAAATATATTTCTACCACTAAAACATTATATAATTATGTAAAACGTCGTAGTAATTTAATTAAGCGCACATTTTCACGAGCATAAACGCATTGTAGTAGATATAATTTGACGTCGACCGCACATTATTATGTTTCGTTCACACCTGTGGAATATAATTCAATTACCATTTCGCTATAATAAAATTTACCATATTAAATAATTATTGTTATTATTATTATGTGTGTGTAATACTGTAATGATTCGAGAATGTTATTTTCGTTCATAATTTGTTGTTCGCACCGTGCAATTATCGCAATGCCAACGTACCTATATATTGCTTACAGGAGATGGAAGACCCGAAGAATGTGGACCAAATCGAATTGCCAATGATCGGCGGCGGTGACGATGGCACGCATTCCAACTCGACCACGGAAGGTGACATGCTGGCCAAAGGTGCTCTTTCCRGTCTCGTGCCCGGAAGCGGTGGCGGTGGCGAAACGACTTCGGCCCCGGCCACCAACACTCCTGCCGACGGTTTGGGGGGATCGACACTGCCGTTCGGGGGCCTGCCGACCGGAATTCCCGGGGCCGGTGGGCTGCCTTCGTCSTACCTACAGGGAGACGGTGGCGGCCAGGGCTCTACGCTTATAATTGGTGGGTTTTCCGCCTTCGTAGTGCCCATGCGTGGCATCAACATGGCCAACATGGCGTCGATGCTGTCCGCCGGACAGCAGCTGGGCCAGATGGTKCCTAAACCCGGTGTCGGTTAGATAGCGACGAAAGAAGAGCCTAACGATCACAATATTATATAGGTCACGCAAAATTCGCTCGGGGCATTCATCACACTACATACTTACGATATGATATAAAAAATTAATAAATKAAAATAAAATCGATCTTGTGTTTTTTATTATAATTATCATAATAATCATTGGGGCTATGAATAACTCAAWAACATGATTTAAATCTCAACTACTCGGAATATTATAAGTATACAAACATTTTACTAAAGGATACAAGGTACCTTTTTCAATTTTCGATTGGATTTGTTCGAGTTGATATCTATATTCGGTATACCTATTAGTACAAACTTTTAATTCTATTTTTTTTTTTTTTTATAAATCTATTACTTATATAAGGTCTTTAATCTTCATCCATGATTTTGGGTTCGTTCTACCACGTGGATCGGCGGCAATTAAACACATTTTATGTTTTATTCCATCGACAATTTATCCTTATGACTTAATCATATATTGTATATGATATCGATCTGGATGTTAATTATGAAGGTTTGCGTAAATAATAATGTCATTAAAAACATTTTTTTTTTTTTTTTGGGGGGGGGGAGTTGTTTAACATCCCTAAATGTTAGTCATGATTTATTCATCGTTGAATAAGTTTTCAAAAACCAACTAATTATTGATATATTATATAATAATATAAACCTTTTTTTTACAAGTTCAATTTGTTAGTATATAGATAGGTAGGTACTAGATAACTGTCAGCACAGGTATTACATACCTATTATTTGTAATGAACACTAATTTAAATTAAATTAAAACTGTGGAGGCGGAATATTCCGTGCCTAGACATTACCTGCTTATATTAAGCAAACGCATTTGTATAATATAATCACTTAACAGTATTTGTATAGTACTCATAATAAGAACAAGCTCACAGTAATTGCTATTTTAGTGAATACGTGGACACCTCATTATTGTTATATGGTAGATCTTTTAGTAGTTTTACAGAATTGAACTAAATTTAAGCTGTTTGTATTAGATTATTACTAATAACTATTACTTCAGTAAGACAACTGCGCGTGTGTGACTTAAAGGTAAGTTATAATTACTAATGTATCATATTTAGCTYATATCGATTCGTTAAATGTTTAATAATTGTTTATGTAACCCTGCATAATGATATTCTTAATTTTATTGTGTTTGCCAAATACTATATGAGTATTATTATTTAACATAATAATTAAATACAAATTTAAATACAATTAAAATTTACAAATTTTAATAATATTATGCAGGTATATATAGTCGCTACTACCGTAAACTTTGAAGGACCAAAGTTATTTTGCCTGGATCAATTGACCGACGTTAAGTATGATCATTGATCAGATAATAAGTAGTATTATATTCTGTCCTATAATCAATGGTACTTAATATATTATATATTATTATTATAATAATCACAAGTGAGTGATTTTTAATATAATATAGGTATAATATTAATATTTCCGTCATGACACTGTATTGAGCAGAATTGATAAACTATCGGTATAATATATTTGTGGCTGACTGGTACACACAAACAATACACGCACTCGGTAGGTGGTAATAATTAATTTTRAATTTGTCATATGCACAGCGTCAAAGGCATGTTTCAACCATACGCATTATTTTTTTATTTTCGTATATGAGCATTGAGCACATTTTGGTTAACATTGGTTAAGTTTATACGTATACTAGTGGACAGTGAGCCACTCCAAAGATGAAGCGTTTCACTCACTGCAACTATATAAACTTAACCAAATATGTTAACTGAAACGCGTAAGAACGAAAATCGTTCAATATTTATTATAAATAAATAGTAAATAATATGAAATATAGGTACAGCAAAATTTAAAAACCTCTGAAAGCTTCCATGTTACTGTAGGCAGTCACCGCGCAGGTCATAATTGATACTTTGCAGTAGTAAACATATATGATTAGATAATCTAGATATTATCTAAAGAAAATATAGATATCTATAAATATACGATCCGAAGATATGAATTACAATTTAATTTGATCKCCAACATTCTTGTTATGATTTATTTGTGATGAAAATTATAGTTATAAGTGCTATAACATATTGGATAAACATTTATAGTGATTTATTATCCTTACATAAAATGTCACATAACATTCTTATAACCAATTCTTATACCAATATATTCATTTATTTATAACTTCATGATGTTTTATTTTAATATAGCAACGATTTATAGTATAACAAATTATCAAAAATTACACGTAGACATTCATTTTTTTTTTTAACGTCTTGTTAAAAATGTTGGTTTTCACTAGAGAAGGGACAGAAAATCATTTCTCAAATTTCATTGGAGTTACTTAGATTTTAAAGGAGAATGAGCGTATTATATTCTTCTAACTGAGTTAGGAAAAATAAAAATAATATGTGTAAGGCATTTATAATGATTGCAATCCATATTTTTAAGTTCCACCTATGGCTATAACCGTAGAGTTCCGAGGACATTCTAGCCACACGACTGTTAATTTGAACTAGTGTTTTTATTCAATAAAAAAATATTTTATTTTAATTAATGGAAATATAAAAATTTCAAAAAAAAATATTGTAGAAAGAGTATGAAATGTTAAAAGTATAAACGCGACGTCTGCATATAATCGGAATCGGTTAGACTTATTATATAGTTAGTCTACATAAATAATATGCTGATCGTACTATACATTCAATCATTGTATAATATATTATTATAGTGTATCATTGATCTGACGATTACCGCCATCATTGTAAGTTCTTCGTGATGAAATCTGTGTACTTGGCTACATCTGTGAACACTACGTAATGTCTGGTGTCGCATACCCGCAGTCCGTCTTTGGCCACCGTCAGGGACACGATACCTCTCAGGAACCATTTATGGTTTCTGGCAAACACCATTCCACCACCACTGTCTCCATTGCATACACTTGTGCCTATTACAGAGTAGATTAAAATAATATTGTACAAAACAAAATTTGATCACTGCAGTAAACCATATTTTGTTTATTATGTGTGGGTAATATCTTATAGGAAATAAACAAGGCATTTTGAAGTATTTAAAAATTTTTTTGCGATTGTCAATATTTATTTTGTACTTACAATATGAAATTATTTATTTTATCTATAAATTAGGTATTGCTTGCTATATAAAATAACCACGCCGTATCATCGCATTGCAGGTACGAGGAAACCAACGATAATATTAAATGAAACTCTTAAGCGGGCAATAGCATATGAACTATAAATCTACGACCTACTTATACTGCTGTAATAAGCAATTCATTAACTGATAACTGTATAAAAAAAAAATGGTTTCCAACATTTGCGCGCTAATAATAAAAGTATAGAGCAGGAGTAGCCAAATTATCGATCTTGATCAACGGATGGGGAGAATTAAAAATATTAGTAATAATATCTAACTAAGTGGAGTTAAAACGTATTATACATTTAGTTTGAGTAAATAAATTTATTGAGTTTATTACAGATTTTGGATATACTTGTTTGGATGATTTT